GTACCTATTTATTCGCCACCATATTGTTTTGTAGTTTATTTACATGACTTAAGAGATACCGCTTTTATGTACAATATTTATTTATTATAATATATGATAATAATAACAATATTAATATTATCAATTCTCGAGCACACACAATACTAAATACATACACTACACATTATATTATAAGTTATGACCCTCTTAATAGGACTTTCATTGAATCGCTTGATACGCCACAACATAATAGTAGATATCGGCTTCAACGTTCATCAAGAAGCTACACTGTAAGTAACAATATTATATTACAGTTATATGCTAAATTTATATATTATAATTAAACAGAACGGTATAATCTAAACGTGCGTGCACCGGCTAAAGCGTTAGTCCGGAAAGGTGTTGTTGTTTGATGTTGTAATTAATATAATTATATTATTACTATAAGTCGGAGGTATAATATATAATATACACCGGTTTTGTAGCTGGTTATTTGCCCGTGATCGTACTCAGGGCCGTCTTAGGCCCTTGGGCACACAGAGTTTGGAGATCCTTTAAGAACCCCCCCTCCACCAAAACAAAATATACATTTTATTATTCGAGGCCCCCACGTGCCATTAGCGTAAAGATGACACTGTTCGCACCTGAATAGAATTATAAAGTTCTCAACCGAATACTCGTTAGTCTGTGATCCGGATCCTCACTTTTCTAGTATAGGTACACACAGTGGCCGGGTTATTTTGTATACCGGTTGGCACAGCTCTTATGTAACAGTATTTCGTCCAGTTTTGATCTACTCTATAGTTGTCTATTTTGTATAAATTTATCGACTAGTCCGATTTGAATGATCATAACTTATAATTTATTAACCATAATTTATAATTTTATATAAAATAATATATTATAAGGTTCTATGTCACTTTGTACGGTCGTGAATTAAAAATGCAAAACGCGGACGCTTTGTACGGTCCGATTTTATTGAAAGTTTGTACAAATACTATTATTAAAATTTGAATTATAGATTCAAAAAAATGTATAAATATTTACTGATCACAGTACTACAATTTAAAATTACAATAGAATTTAAAAATTTGTAATTAATTAATTTTCTTTCTTCATTCTGGTTAAGTAAATTATATAATTTCTGTCAAAGTATAAAATGAGAGGTTATACGCATGATAAATTTCAATTAAAATGTCGTTACTAGGTAAAAATGCCAATGAAGTAACATTTTACAATCTTTGAAAATTTTTTCGTTTTCTTTGTAGAATTTTGCTAATCTAAGTTGTTGAAGTTGTCTTCATATAGACTGCCATAAATGGAAGAAACAATCCTGAATCTCGACTCCACTAAAAATTCTATTTATAACATTAATTTCGCTTAACTCTAAATCTACTACAATTCTTTCAGGCTTAAGAGGATGTTATACATACAATTTTCCACCGTTAAAACATATACCTCCGCAGAATACCTAAAATACCTCCATTGCAGCATATTATCAGAAAAGAAAAAAATCCAGCCTAATTAATTTGGGACCGAGATTAAGGAAACGATTGCCAACCCTACTTGTACGGGAAAACACGAAGAAGATTATTTTATTACTTTGTTTTGTGTACAAGCAAAAAACACCTACCGGAGTGCTTATTGCTTTAGGGCAGATTTAACACGTTTGTCTGAAGGTAGTCCCTTGTCACTATTGAAACAAAAATAAAATATAAGAAAACACTATAAACTTCATGTTTTTCCCCACTATATTCTTAGCGGTTTATTTATTTATTTAAATTATTATCATTATGAGTGTTTCGCGGGCACCATTAACCGTGTGCGTTATTTATAGCCCAGCGGCGTTGTCGGTTTTTAAAAAACCAACAGGTTCGGTGGCGACGAAAAAACATAAGTGGGGAACCGAAACACATATAACGTCAAATTACTGATGTATACCATAACGCCCCGTGCGAGGGTGAGCGAGGTCGTCGGTAATTATAATATTATTTCTTTCTACTGTTTGCTTGTATCACGCGCGCCTTTATAATTTTTTTTAAACGCATCACGCCAAATGATACGTGTAATTAGAAAGCCGTCTCTCACTCGCTCACTCTTTCTCGTCTTTCTCACTCGCCTTCTGACAATCGCGTTACACGGAGGGTTTTCGTTTTTATTTTTGAACCGTGGCCAAAATACATGCACACGTCGAGAAGGGACTAAAAAAGCAAGAACTTTTTTCTATCTAGAATAAATGACTCGTCGCTGTCAGGTTCCGATTGTAAGAGACGCGAGGGCGCAACGGAAAAATATTTTTATAAGAAAACCTGTGGCCGTTAAAGTGGTAGTTTGCTCGACTTGTGTGCAGCTATACAGGATGCGATTTTAGTAGAGCTACAAATGCTGGTTAGATGTGGTTAGACGAATGTTTGTAATATTATTACATATGTAATCAAAGATTACGTTAGATGCACAATTAAGTACCGCAGCTTTACTGGTTTCTGTAATCTTATGTCATTAAGAGGTACCACACCATCACAATATGAAGTGCATAGCACAAGCCAGAGTATGACGCGCGGATAATTAAATTTCGTTTTATTACATTAGACATCTCAGAATAGAACCTAGAATATTTCTGATTCCAACCCTAAAAAAAAAACTATGACAAAACTTTGAAAAATATAATATTGGCTTTTACTTGAAATAATGGATTTGTGGATTAAACACTTCTGGCGCTACACGGAAAAAAATACATAGTTGGTCCAACTAAAATTATAGTTAATATAAGGACACAATACATTTCTATTTGGAATAACTAAATTAATAGTTGGCCCTACTAAACATTTAGTTATTCAAACTAAAATAAATCATTTGTCGTAAGTTTTTGTGTACAATACTATTTTCTAAGCGTTTCCAAAATGTTAAAGCTTTCGACTATTACAAATAAAACAAGAAGATTAAAGAAATAACTAGTTTTACTTTAAAAATTACCGATGCGAGGTGCCCTCTTATAGAACTCGGACCTAGAACGAATATAATTAACACACATGTAAAAAGATCTCGTATAAAAAAAATGCGCCATCCGAATTAGAGGGTCTTATTAGGTATAATTGGCTAGAATAGCGTGATGTCTTTTATTTTTTTATTAGCTGTTATTCGCTTATATTCCTGAAACTACATAATAACTGTTGATGTAAAACCGGAGTAGGCTGCGCATTAATATTTTAAATCCTACAAATTTAATAGTCTTCAATAATCTTAATAGTGACCGCTAATTATAAGACTAGTTCTTGAAACTAACAAACGTGTGTTAATACGTACCACACAGGGATAGGTATTAGAATTTAATTAACTACATAACATATTATTTAGTAGATAACAGTTAAATAGCTTGTACAGGTTACGATTTTTAATAGTATTAAGACCCGCGCATAGGTATCCAATAAACACCTTGTATAGCTACTAGAAGGTTAACTTATGCCTGGGAATGACAAGTTCAATATCCTAAGATGAAAACTTGATAAATTTGACCTGATGAAGATTATATTACATATCTTAGTTTCTAATCCATAACACTAAATGACATTAGAGTGAATTCAAAAACTAGAATGCGCCTTATTGGACTTTCTAAAAAAACGCGAATACACTATAAACACTTCAATAGTTATTATTAAAAATAATAATTATCTTTTAAATAAATGACGATATTTAACTTATAATTGAGACGTAATTTATTGAAAACATTATACTTAATTGTCCATAAACAGGTTAACACAATCAAATAAATAATTTTTACATTTTTCCCTAGAAAAAATAACGTTAATAATATATACCTATTATATTATACGCTAGAAATGGGAATTATGAAAACTATATTTTAATTTTTGTCGTTACTGGTTATGGTAATTTTTATAATAGATTTATGATTAATGTGTTACCTAATAAAAATATAAAATATTTGTCACCTCAACTATTTTAATTTTACACTATGTATTCATCTTAAAACTTCTTTTAAATTTCAAACCGTCTTAGACATTTTTTTTTTTTGGTCATACTGTGTATCTAATGTACAATGTATATAAATCTTATAAATAAATATTTTCAGAATACATTTTACTCATTTCCAATAGTTTTAATGCTGATATTTTTATTTGTATTTGTAATTTTATTTCATAAATACCATTGTTATTGATATTTTGTAATACGTATCGGTGCATAATAAATTAAACGTCATCGATTAAAGTGGTGAGAACCAAAAAGGGCTAAAGTGTTGTTAATTCAGTTTTACGGGAGAAAAAAATAGAACCATATTTTCAATGTGTTCCTATATCGAACATTTTTGAAAGTGTTTTAAGTGATTAAAATCTCGCAAGCCCCCCTGGAAGCTGGCTCAAAACTTAATTAACGAAAACTATAACCTTAACTCTAAATGGACTGATGAATGGAGACTAAATAATCCCGACAAATTTAACATCATTGAAGAACCTATAGAAAGGGTTTCGGGGTTCCAACTACCCCGGAAGGAATGGATGACCCTAAATAGACTTAGGACTGGCCACGGAAAAACGGGAATAATGCTTTATAAATGGGGACTTAGAGATACACCACAATGCGACTGCGGACATGACACTCAGACAGCCAATCACATCGTGGAAGAATGTCCAGTACGAAAAATACAAGGCGGAATGAAACATCTTCATAAGGCCACAGCAACGGCAACAAACTGGCTAACCAATCTGGACATTAGAATTTAAGACAATGTAAACACTAACCCGACTTCATTATTCAATCATTATACATATATTTTATCTACTTAACTAATTATTACTGTATAGGATCCTACATTTTATCAATTTATATATATATTATATTCATATAATCTATATCATTTATTGTAATATTTGTTGTTGTTGTGGTATCTATTTATGTTGTTAGTGTTGGATTTAAACCATACGAAAATAAATAAATAATCCGCGCTGACGATCATTGACCATATACGGATTTACAAAATTAAATTTATTGTTCTTGCTGTTGTGTAGGTCATGCGCTGTGGCCGGTTAATATGCTGAAGGAGATCCGTAGTCCGGGATTGGAGTCCGGGTCGGAGCACGGCAACGGTGGTGCTTGTTGCGCCGGTTGTGGCAGATCCATCGACGACCGGTACTATCTGTCTGCCGTGGACATGTGCTGGCATATGGGTTGCTTGCAGTGTGCCGAATGCAAGGTGCCGCTGGATGCCGAACTGACGTGCTACTCGAGGCACGGCAACATTTACTGCAAACAGGATTACTTCAGGTAAACATTTGAAAAAAATGATTCCGTGATATCACAACTTGGTTTATCCGCCCTCTTCCAAACTTAAGTCATACTGTTTATTTATCCACGACCGATTCGTCCGTACCGAGCGTTTGACCAATTGTTTGCTTCCGCGCGTTCCCTCCACGTTTTAGGTAGACTGAAAACGAAAAAAGTATAATGGCAATAACAACAGCAACAATAATAATCAACGAGATATACTTTGTATGTAAATGCACGCGAGACGCGCTACACAACAACAATTACGGTGCCCTAACCGATTTTAAGTACTCCAACATGACTACTGGATGCGATAATAACAATAATTATTGTACGCATTGTTCGGAAGCGCTATACTCGACCACTCTAATTATTTACCACGGCTCCGAGTTCCGGTCGAGTACTGCCTGTTTATATGTGTGTGTGAGGAACCTGGCAATTATAGTACCCATCTACTATTCTCGTAATGCCGACGTTAAATAAATGACGGAAAAGATTCAATTTAAGATAAGGAGGGGAAAAAATGTACAAAACGTACTATGATATAATTACATCGTATCGGTTACAGAAACCGAGTACGTATAATAATTATTTGTCTTCGGGTGAACGACGGTTCAACAGGTCTGACCTGGCCGACAATATAAATATAATAAGCGATCAAACCCACTATGATAACACTATGATACACGGGATACTCGAGACTAATCGGATTCCTGCGATCGTACCAATTTTGAAGAACATGGCGCGTGCACGGGCTTAACGACTCGTTCAACGGGAATACAATACATATTGTGTAGTTTAGGTGCAAATCATTTCAAGTTGTCTAAGGGTAATAGGTAACTACATGGTGAACTTAAGCCTTTTCGACGAGAACTTAAAACTATACTATTAAGGACTTTCGAAAAATGTTTTTCGCTTACAGTTGTAAATGCAGTCTAGTCTTATAGATCTAATTGAAAAAAACCTGAAAATGATATTCTTAAATGGATGAAACAAGTTATGAAGTTTTCGACACCTCCACACCTAGTTATTGACATATTGGAGAATTCTAATCCATATGCAATTTTAAACTAATTCCTAATATAATACTATTTTCCTCGAGCACAAATCATAATTTATTACAAGGCTGGGCAAGTTAACGATTTATATTAAATTATAAAATAAAATATCGTGAATTCAGTAAATGTCGAAGGCTTGATAAACTACATACGGCCGTTGCCATTTGCGCGTCAATTCTACTTGAACTTTACATATAGATGGCACAAACGGTCATTAATTAATACTAACAGGTATTTACTTAAGTAACGAATTATTTATTTCTATATTTTTTTTTTCTTACTGTTATTCGTAACAAAGATTCGCTCACCTTGGGTCGATAAAACCGCTCAAAAACTCGGTAAACGTGATGCTTTGATGTTCAGCCTTGCTTTGTTGTAAAAGAGCGTGATTTCGCTAACCGCATAGGCGATCCCAGTCAAAATGTAAATCCGGAAACAGCGCAGGTCGTTTGGTCGCGACCCGTTGCAATCACGGTGGTTTGAACGGGCACAATAACTCGACGTGCGCGTGTCGTATACATCATAATTCACGGTATATTATACGGCGACTATTGTCATGATATGTACGTATAGTTTATGACGCGATACTTATAATCCCATAGAGCAGGGCACGCGTCGCCCGTGTACCTGCCGGCCTTACTAACAAGGACTTAAACGACGGTGGCGGAGGAGAGCGGCACCGCGTGCACCTGGGTCCGCTGCACGTGTCCGCGGGGGCCCATTGTTGTTCGATATCAATCCCACAACGACTTACATCGGCCGAACGGGAAGAGTCCGACCACGGATCTACCAGGTGCCCACTCGCCACGCGCGTCCTGTCCAAATGATTTTTGGCTAGATAATCTCCAAAAGCGGCGGTCGTCGATTCCTGGATGTATCAATAAGGGTGCGCGGGGAGACAAAAGGCCGACTTTTATGAGTAATTGCTATTGACAAAAGAAAATCTAGTTAGGCACAGTAACCGCGACCATACAGGTGTTCATAATACATCCCTCTAGGTACCTACATAACCAACAGAAACCAATTTTATAGGTAAATATATATATACAGGCTATACCCATATATATAAATGGGAAACCTGAATGGTGTGCATAGAACAAATATGACAAGCCTAAGAAATCACCAACTACATCGTTTATTTTTGACATTAATTATCTTTTAACGTGCCTTTTTCAGACTCTTTTCGATGAAACGCTGTGCCCGCTGTCTGGCTGGCATCAGCGCCTGCGACCTGGTGATGCGAGCCAGGGACCTCGTGTACCACGTCGAGTGTTTCGCCTGTTACGCGTGCGGTGCAATACTGTGCAAAGGCGACTATTACGGGATCCGCGATGGAGCCGTGTACTGCCGGTTGGACTATGAGCGACTTAAGCACAGGGACTTGTGCGAACTGGAGCCTATGTGCAGCCCACCCCGAGCCGCGGGTCACCACTGGCCGGCCGCTCACAAGGGGAGGCCTCGGAAAAAAAGAAACGTCCAGCTGTCACCGATGACTACCGAGTGCAACGGTCTCACCGAACTCAATGTCCTAAGGATACCGCAATCCACTCTGGGTAAATTTATTTATGTACTTTCTACCTAACCCATACAGTATGGAAAATACTAGCTTTAATACACAACGAAGCATTATACGTTTCGTAGTATGATCATTTGATCGTAAGATATGTATCTCATTATGCTTATGGAACAATTCTTGATAAATTATAATACATTCTAATAAAATTAAAAAATATATTTATATGGTTAAAACAGTAGAGTATTTAACCATTACCGAAATAGTTAAAACTAAATTTCTTTTACTTGGTTTAATAAGTGCTTACACGAATTGAACTCCAGAATCCGGGAGCTAACTCATTTAGATTAAGCAAAATCTGTTTAAACCTTACACGTAAAGTAGTTCATAATTAGATATAGAATATCATTATGCGAAAATTATTACTCATTGAAACTACTACATTACCGTTCCAAAGAAAACTCGCACAACATAGTGTTATTATAATTTTCATAATTTGTGTAAATTAAAATCAATTAAACCTATTTATTAATAATAATCGGTTTTCGGCGGTCATTAAAAGAGTATAAATATTCATGCGGACCGCGAATTAGACAAATTATTACAAATAAGACTGCAACAACTGTAAATCGAGAGAATTAGTTTTAATTTTATCATGGCCACATTTGAATAATTATTCTACCAGGGCGGTAGTTGCAGCATTATGATTCAAGTCGAAACGATCAAAACCGACGCTTCGAACAGATCGTCATCTGCGTTTATAGTTTACCGATGGAAGCCAGTATATAAGGAAAAACACGTTTTACCTTAAAAAAATCAATTTGCATTCGACAGATTAGGTTGCCTAAAGTATATATTATTATTTACCTGCGACGGCAAATCATAATGACCATCTGTATTTACCTGCCCGTGTACTCGGAAGCATCTTTAATGGCGGTCTGATCAACTCACTGGTGTTGTTTGTTCTTATAACATCCTAATCATTTACATTTTCTTCGTAATTGTTGAAACTACGTTCAATTTGAAGTCGAGACGCTTTTAATTATTATTACGAATAAATCTACCACAGTTTAACTGCAGTCAAATTGTTTTTTTTAACGGCGATACTTAAAACCGATACAATGATAAAAATCCTAGCAGGTACTTTTCCCAAAATTAATTCCAGTGTTACTATGCTATGTCAGCTCACATACATAAATCACTTTGTTTGGCAGTATTCCAAAAATAAAAATAAAAATACAGATAAATCGGGTTTAACAGTTGAAATAGATCTTAGCCAGTTTTATTGCAATCGATTTACCGCAGTTTGAAGGCCGATCAGAGGCCAAAGGACGATTTGATATTATATTAGTTTACAAATATCGCTACTATGGAAATTAATCGTAATGCACCTGTAGAAATGCAGTTTGACAAAAAACCAAATTTTAATTATTAATAATCCCTATTGGTTTTTCAAACTAACAAATGATTTTGACGAAAACATACCTTGATAAAAGACAAAAATATAATAATATTTTCAAGATGATAAAATTATGTGTAAAAATAATAGTTATATAATTATGTATAATTTTATTAAAAACTATTACACAAAAATAATATAGTAGCTAAAATGTGTAAAATTAAAACTATTAATTTGACAAATATTTTGCTTGTTACAAATAATTAGTCATAAAACAAAAATTTTTGCATAATAATAAAATCATACTTAAAAAAATATTATAAATGTTTTAATAAATTTGTAATTGTGGTTTTTGTTGAATATATTCCATTATTAAATGTTGCAAATAAATTTAAACACACCACCCGCTGGCAGTCCTTAGACATTTATTTAGCAATCACCATTTATAAATGTATAAATATATATTGTTTAGTGTATAATAAAATTAATTTAAGTGTATTAAAAAAATATAAAATAGATACCTTCATTTTTTATATCTAGCCACGGCTTTTCATTTTAACGATTTAATACTAGTTCATTTAAATAATTTGGTTAAAATTTTAATTTTTACTACTACAATAATTGTATAAATTATAATCGTTATAAAGTTAAAAAAAAACTTTGAAACAACTTCATCAAATATTAACTGAACAATAAAATAATCAAATACTCACAAAATAATGTTACCTGAATCATGTGCTTACAAGTGCTAAAAAAGAATAATATTATTCGCTTGTAATATAAGCTTAATGTTGTTTCTATAACTTAAAAAATATATGTACCTATTTTAAAATCAATGGCATAATAAATATTAATTATGTTCCTACTATACTATTATGCATTATGTATCTACATCAATAAATATCTGTATATGTAGTTAACTGTATATAGTTAACAGCACTGTCATAACAAGTTTATTTATTGATAATAAAAGTAGTACCTATGATAAATTATGTGTAAAAATACCATGTTAATAAAATCATTATAATATATAATAAATAATTGACCTACAATTTATAAATTAATAATAATGGATTTGATACATGTTTTACTTGTTGTTAAAATAATAATTGATCATATTAAACAGTCCAAACCTATATCTAATATTTATAATTGAAGTATAGTTTTTTATAAGGATATTTTAATTTAAATCATAGCAACCTATATTTTATCTGTTGTTAGCCATGCGATGTAACATTACAGTTTACCTCACCAAAACACCATTTATTTAATTAACGTAATAATTATTTATTGAAATTTGGTTATCGACCAGTCGTATATAATTCTACTTTTAATAGGCAATTTGCCTGAAGGTTACTGTTAGTTTTTTTTAAATTTACCCCTAAAACTACCCTTTTTAAAATAACTTTTTTACTCGAGCGTTAAAAACAATTTTTGATAATTTTTATTTATTAGTGATTTTATCTGAGGTGTTTTTTTGTTAGAAACAATTATTATTTAATAGTAATAATGTCTGTACAATGGTATTTGGATGTAAGATATTATGTTGTAGAAGCTCGATAGAAAATAGTTTCAGTATTTTATTATCTAGTATTATTTGAACTAAAAAAAAACCAAGATTTTCTACACGACTAGATCGCGTTATCCCTTTGTAAAATATATAATTATAAAACGCGTTAAACGAATACATTTTCAAATAGTGTTATATTATATTTATTATTTAGACGAAACGCAAACGCACTCGGAACGGTAATTTATCAGACTTAACAATAATTGACTCGCGTACATAATAATTTATCGGGCTTTAAAAGCGGTCGAGTCAGACCAACGGGCGAATGACACTAAAGCATCGAATGCAATTTGTTGGCTTGGCGACAAACGACTAATTGATAGTACAGTATATTCCTACCACCCATGCCAGTGTCGGAAAGCATTGGCCGAATGAGCAAACCGCAAAAACAGAAACATCCTTTTTTGATTATCTCTCTTTAACTCTTTCTCTCCCTCCGTCTATATGCTCCATAATATACACACTCACACGCTGGCATATTATAAATCACCGAGGACGGACGTTGGGAATAATTTAACGCTCTGAAACTCGTGTATATGTATATGTATATAAAAGACTCGGATATCGTGTGCTCGCCGCTGGCCGAGGACGGACGTTGGGTGGCGATAAATACCCACACACAACTGCCGGTATGTATACATATAATATAAACGGAGTTAGATTTAAGTAGAATAAGAAGAGAGGTATAACAATATATAGGTACATGTAAATATATATATATGTGTCAGTATATTTTTTATTTAAAAAAAATACTAAACTGAGGTAAAAAAAAAAAACACACACACACAACGGTGGCTAAGATACAAACCGTGTCGCTACTCCGGGAGACACACACGATTTATATGCGAGCACACCATAAACACACACACATAGATTTTTTTTTTACTTTTCATTTATATGTATATGTATATATATATATATAGGAGAAATTCAACGGGGATAAATATTTTATAATGCCAGCTTGTGTGTGTGTGTGCGAGATGAGAGTGGTGTTGTCGCGCCTCTAATTGGACGGCCGGGCACACCCGCGCGATACGGCCACCCAAGACAGTCGCCTTATCGACTGTATGCCGATCGTCTTGGTCGGTAGCCGGCCACCGCAACCCCTCGTTTTAAAATTTAAATAGTATATTTATATACTTGCCCATACGGTAATAATATTGTTATCACTTTTAGTATACACCGTTCGTTCTCATCCCTCGCGGCGAGCCCTATAATAATAATATTATTATAGGCTATAGCACTACCCGTGTTTTTTTTTCTTTTTATAAATCAGGCCTCTCGGACCTTTTTTTTTAGTAGGACCAATTAAAAAACCCACATGAACATTTATACCTTTTTATTCAAATACATTACAATATTACGGTGTAGATGGGCTACCGCGGGTAACGATATAGTATAAAACATAACAATATAATTATAATGTACCAAAATCCGAAATCTTGATATTCTCACACGCCGAACCCGACCGTCCGCGTTAAATAACTCAATAAATATACTATTATCGCGGAAGGTGATCCGTCTCTGTTTTAAATTATAATAATATTTAAACGAGTATAGTGGCACGGTTAATGCCATAAAATGTAAGCCTATATGAAATGGTAATTAGGTGTGTAAATACTTTAAGGTTTATGATCCGTTACAATAGTAGGTATTTTTCACACAAAACCAAAATGTATAAAGTGCTCGTTTGGCATACAGTTCAACGCGTACATCAGGAGAATATGATTGATTTAAAATTAATATACAAAATGATAAAGCAAGCTAATAATATTATCGCACCTATGAAGTATACTTTGTATTTTATTATCGAATTAGAATTAACGATTTTAATAATATTATTAAACTAAATAATTTAATGAACTTTTTTGTGGAATTTATAAAATCCAAAGTAGTTATATTACAGTGATAAAATGATATACATTAATACCACGTATGTATAGGTAATTTAATTTGGAAATGATAAATAAGTGCGTTAAAAAAAACCAAAAAAAAACAATCTATTAAGTATATAGTATAATAAACATGTTTATTATACATAATTCCCATAAAAATATTTATACTTTACTACTAAAAAGAAAAATTGTTGGGGCTTAAGAAAATGTTGGAAGAGTAATGCTCTCTTAGATCTCATTTACTACGCCTGTGATATACTATAAAGTTATAAATTCTTTGAATACACAACTATACATTTTTAACCACCCCCCTCCCATCCAGAAAAAAATGTACTTACGCCACTGCCTCTATGCAATCCAAGACGGAATGTACTAATTAGATATACCTTAGGTCTAATTCTCAGGCACGCATAAGTAAAATTGCCAAAAAAAAACTTGCCCGGATTTTCATTTAAAGTATACAAAAACACAATACAATATTGTAAAACTCGAAATTTGCACGAGCTGTCGCATTCTTTTTGACATTTAACGTGCCTATACTTTAGTCAACGCAATTATCCTTTTACAAATCACCATAATAGTTTTGCACCATAGTGTTGCGCCGCTCGTGTGGATTTCAATAAATAAACCGTCACAGGCCGTATATAATATTATCGTCATAAATGGTGTTTGCTCATTTTTCTTCTCCTACATTACACTATAACCGTTCATGTACGCATAACAAATATTGTTCGTAGTTATGAAACTAACGAGACGTGGCTTTGAACTGTTCTCGTCCACACCCTTCTTGTGGCCCGAGCAAGTCCAATATTTGCCGTTGTGCAAACTCGCAAGCATTCATAACGCGGTCGTAGGCGATTCAAATCGACATAACGCAACAATAACGCTGTGGAGACACATAAATTATACACGGGCGAAAGTGCCGAAGAGCGTAGGGAGCCGTCAACGAGCAAAGGAGTTGACATGTAAAACAGAAAACACCACCTCCGAACGATTTCCATAACGAGATGTCATTGAAAAAAAAACCTTGAAAATACCATTTTTTCCCTTTGAAACCTTTGCCCTACCCTTAGCACTGTTTTTCCATTTGTTCGGTGTTTCTTATGTGTATTTGTGCTAGTCATATTGTATAGCCGTGTAGTCTGTCCGGGGCCCATTAGCCGGCCCGACCCCGTTGCTGTTTGTACCGTCGCCTAACAAATGTTTTCTTTCCCAAGCACACTTTTGGCGCGCGAGCATTGTTTACATTGGATTATAATATTTTCACCAGCGGCTATACTATACTACAGGGCTCACGGTGGAAGGGGGACCTGTCCGTCATTCGTCACAAAAGCACGCTGTGTATACGTTTTCGTAACCAGTGTGAAAATATTGTATACACACACACACATATGAGTATAACTCTTACGTTTGTTGTTGCCAGTGAAAAGAACTTGGAGAGTGTGTGAGAGAGAGAGAGAGGAAGAGAAATGTATATACAATTTAATACATACACGCATTCTGGCGAACAATGGACGCCCCCGTGCCATCCAGATGTCGATACTAGGTTTGCCGGAGAAAAGGGATGGGGAGGGAATACCACCGAGTACACACTCGGCATAATAGTATAGGAACTAGTTACATACACGGTGGCCATGTGCGACCGTTTAAATGACGTTTCCTGCAAGACTCCGATATGAGCATTTACAACATAAATTCGACAGACCGCATAAATTATATTTTCAAATGTTACAAATTACAGATAGACATCAGCTGTAAGTATTATAGAACCGGTATACATATTATATAGTGTACCTGAATTGAATTTCGCATTATACACGGTATCCTACTCTATGCCGTAATATTAATACTTGTTATAATTCTTATGTTACTTTTTTTTTTCGTCAAAATATTGATGTCAAAAAAAAGTTACAAATTTGCTCATGCAAATTAAAAATTTATATGAAACCTGTATTTTTAATTTAAAATATATGGAGACATTTTTTTTTTTTGTTCAACACGCTCAATTCTGGTACTGCAATAAAGTTTGCATAATTATAATATATATGTGCAAAGGCTATGCGGAAAGGCAATGTACGCACACAAGGTGTTTTTGGCGACAATGTAGCAATATACACGCATGGGCATCCGGCCGATTTTTAATAAAAATTATAATTAAAATTTTAACTCACGTTTATTTGATGTCCATCGTACAATATTATATACCATGTCGCTGAACGTTGTGACATCGCAGAATATAAGTATACAAACATAATATTATGTATTTTATTTACCAATTGTTTGAGAGAAAGAACCCTTTCTTATGCAATTAGATTGAACAACTGGAATAAGAAAAAAATTACCGTTCAATCGTTCGTGAAAAATAATTTAAAAAATACCAAATCAGGGATGAAAATGTGGTGTAAAAATTAAAAATGTGTATTTTATATAGAACTACTATTCAAAATAGAATTTTCAAGAAAGACTTAGAGAAAGTTTTAGAAAGTCCCACCCCTAATTTTAAGCAACATTAAATTTTTCGGGACGATAAACTGCAACCAGAGGTGGTAAAAGCTTTAGTCCATTTCTCCAGTATTTTTATATTTTATAGATCACCCTTATAATTTATTACCATCAGCAGTTTGAAGTGAAATAAAATAGGGTTCTATATAACTCTACATTATAACAACATAATTGTTATAACAATAATTCAGTAGAGTAGAGAAGTATGGAAAAGCAACATCAGACCTGCCGGAAAACTTTATAATCTTTTACAAGACTTGCTCCTAACTGCCCGACCGTGTCGGGCAGTTAGGAGCAATAATAATAATCAATAAAAATAATAGTCAACAATATTGACTGAATGACAATAGGTCTTCTTCTAGTGTACATTTTATGGATAACAATATGTCCGTTTGAACTAGTTGTTAGTTCGAGACTAGTTTCAGACTAGTCGTACGCCGTTCTAAAGGCGGTCGCCGATAATAATATACGAACAATAAAATGTTTAATAATCTGCAATTTTTTGTTTGTAGTCGCTTTAAAAATAATAATCGTTATTATTAAATCGCAGAAGTCATGCAAGCCACGGACCTATCGTCGTCGATGGAGTCGTTGACATACGAGACGTCCAGCTTGTCTTCGCCGACCAATCCGTCGACGGCCGGCGCAATGTCACAGCAACACCACCAGCAGCAGCAGGGCCGTACTAAGCGTATGCGTACTTCGTTCAAACACCACCAGCTGCGCACTATGAAGTCGTACTTCAACATCAACCAGAACCCCGACGCCAAAGACCTGAAACAGCTGGCCCAAAAGACCGGCTTGTCCAAACGAGTACTACAGGTACACGAACTATACGCTGATAAAAACACAGCACCTATATCCATACATTTATATAAAATAATAATTATATATCATGTACACCGGCGTCTGAGCGTTTCAAAAAGACCCGTGTAATTTGTTTTAAAAGCCCAGAAAAAAAACAATATAAAACAAGTATAAAAGGTTGTTAAAAATGTACCATATTTAAATAAAAAGTTTGTGTAAGAAGACCAGGGATGTTATTTTGACTGAAAATACACTTCAGTGCTACTATGTAGGTTTGATGAAAAAAACTACAAAAAAAAATGTATTATTTGTGATTTTCTATCACTAAAAATAATATAGTTCTTATAAAATTGCAACACAGTTTGTCGTTCTTTAATTTATTTTACGCATACAAGTTCATTTTCAATTTCGTTTTCAAACCGTATATTCAAGAAAAACATACAAAAATATCTAGCTCTGGCGTACAGTATTTCTTTGGCCAGCGCCCAGCGGTATCATCAAAATCTTAATGTTTTTAAAACAAAGAATTTTTTTTTAATATTAATTAAAATATCCAATTTCGAGTAGCGGTTGGTCATTATTTGATACAGATTTGTGTACGATGTGATTGAATTATTTTGAAAACTTTGCATTACAAATATTTTTTTTTTATACTAGTCAATGACTGTTGTTGTTTTATGATCTAGGTGTGGTTCCAAAACGCCAGAGCCAAATGGCGGAGAAACATCACAAGGCAGGAGAACAATCAACTGGTGGCCAGTTCCATTTCCGGGCAAAATCAATCGACGCCATCCGATCCCGACCTCATCCGGGGACACACTCAGGGTTCGCAGGGTCTCAATTTTGTTGATCTGTTTTGAAACCGTCTTTGTCCGAACGGCGATTTCTTGTATTTCAATTTTGTAACAATACAATAATATTCAAAAAACCTTAGGAGAGAAAACCCAATACGCTTACCAAATATTATATTAAATAGATCCTATTAGCGCGACAAAACACGTAAAAGTATAGTGTTCCTCAAACGAGAAACCACTTGTCCTCTACATAAATAATTATTGTTATTACTACTTTAATTTAAAACTATATTCTTACTATCGTGACTCGTGCACCTCTGTGCTATAAGAAACGGAACAGAGCGTACAGATTTATGCGCGGTATGTTTTTGGCACATATCTTTCGAACAAATATTATACTTATACTATATACTATTACCTATATATCCTGTCCGTAATGGGAGAGAGCTTTTGTTTTGGCGGTATAACAGTTTTACTCCACCGTATGGTTTGTTTCTAGGATTTATAGTTATTATTATTACAAATAAAGAGCTTCTGTAATGTTTAAATCGATATCATATTTTCTTACATCTTAGCATTATTATGTATTGCCGGAACAATAGTAGGTAGGTACCTATATTGTCGAGACTCAACGATGAGTTGGGCGTTAAACCAAAGATTATGCGTTGTATTAAAAGCTTAAGAAAATTATGCCACATATAGTTTTTGTATTTCACAAATCGTACCTGTAACGAAATCAAAACATTTACACCTGGGACACTTGCCTAGGTCGTAAGTCTATGTTTTGTATCATGGCGCTAAAGCCGTAATTACGCCACTGCTTTACTGTCGGAGTCGTGTTGAGGGTTAGGGGAAACGGATAAATTTCCAGTAGTTATATTATTATAATTGTTTTATTTAAAAAAAAAATTGTTGAGATCAGTAAATGAGGAACTGCTGTCTATTATTGCATCTGAGTACACACGTCTTCAAAAGCTCTCTCGTCAAAATATTCTACAAACTTTTTCTGTCCACAACGCTATGTTATATTGATCTTGTCACGTTCTAGTCAAATTATTATTTATTATATTAAGGTTACTATTTATTAATAGTATAGATATACGTAGACAAAATATTGATGTGTGTATTAGTTGAAATAATTATATTATAATTATATTAGCTATGCGTGATTGTACAAACGCGTATTTTGTTGGATTTTTAAACGCGACATCAACAAAGAAATAAAAATGAACATCTATATTATGGTTATTACTGTACCTAATATTATAGTATAATGTAAAACTCGATGTTAAAAGTATATTATTAAAAACTGTGTTTTATTGTAAAACAAAATAGCAAATTGCTTTTTTTTTTTTTTAATGATTATTATTATTATTATTACCTATTATTTGTATTGTATTGTTTTGTTTTATTTTCTTATTTTATCCATTGCTTTCAATATAATATGTCCAATAGAAAAATGCATACTTGTTATATTTTACCATTCATTTGTGAAAGACATTTTTCCCAAGGTTCGCCTTTACTAGGTAAGCTTATTCTTTTCAACATTTTATAATCGAACATTACTCATGTTCACTTAACTATATAATCAACAGTAAGCAACGATAATTTGGAGAAAAAAATCTCGATGCACCCATAAAACATAAGCACCTATGCAATTAAGTCTTGATATTTTTATTATTTACATTTACAATGACAATATCCATCAATATTTTGGATAATCGTTCAACTTGACTTATTGAATCTTTTTGCCGCCATTAGGTACTGCTTATTATAACGATCATAATATTTATAAGTAGGTAATTCGAAATTTGTGTTACGCTTAGTCACATTTTCCACTTCGGATCCATATTTGCGCGAGAGCGACGATCCGATTATAATTATTATTTTTATTACATTATTACTCAAATCAAAACATATTAACGGCAAATACAACTATCGGCTTATTTCAAGTCAGCGGTGTCCGACTTGTTCTATTCCCAAACTCGGGGACCCAAAGTCCAAAACCGCTTATGACGTACAAAATTATAATAATCCCATACATGGCTATATATGAGTATACGCTGTTATGAAAACCTCTTCTCGATTCCCTTTCAGCATAATACGATTATGTACGTTCATATTGTGCATCGAGTGGTCGGCTGTTGAGCGCGTGCATCAAACATATTACAAGTATATATATTCATATATATATATACACTGCTGCGCCCCCGTACGTGATTTTCCGTGTGAACCCTTTAAGTAGACTTTACCTATACATATATATATATATATATTTATATATATAAGACCAAGGTGTTGCGAAAAAACGTTATCGGCCGCCGCGCCGTTTCATATTATAATGAAGCGGCACTGTCTGGCGTATAAACAAAAGGCAAGTGAACGGGCGTCGACTAAACACCGTCGCAGTACTTAAGCGCGAGCGAGTTCTTCAATAAATGCATTTATTATGCGATTATTAAATTGTACAATATAATAAAATAGTACTATAACGTGTTATTTCACCGCAACGGTCGTGTGAAACCGAACTCGAGACGTGAAACGCATAAAAGAAACACATTTTTCATACGCTACAAATGATTTGATAATCTCGAGAGTACACATACGGCCTTATCGCAGGGTGTGCAACAATCTATCTTTGGCTAGTGCAAAAGAGAGTTTGAGTTTTTTGGAACACATAATATTATAATATTGCACAACACAACCGAGTGTAGGCTACGTGACAGGAGAGCAAACTATGCCCGCGTTAGACCCGCACTCGCTTTAATTTATAGGGTCGCTAAATTACAGCAAATTAATTTATTGGAGCCGGTTCTAAAATAAAACAAGAAGAGACTTTTTTTTAGTTACAATTTGTCTTTCGGTCCGAGGTCTGTCAAGTCCGCACCCGGTTACGCCTCTGATCCCGTTGAAACGATCTAGACAATTCACATATAATGATAATATAATAATTATTATACATTTTTATAATTAGCCGTGTCCAATAGGTTAAAAGAACATTGCCATACGGACTATAAAACATATTTCTGTAGTGCTATTTACAACACTATTTTGATTCATTGTGTGCCACTTTTGGTATGCCTGCTTGCACCTACGACCTAATATGTACTGTTAATAGTTTCATTACTATATTGAAAACTCTCCCTCCCTTCCGTACTCCATAGGTTGTTCTTCCTAAAAAATAACATTTGCAATATTTATTTAAACTATAGTATCTATAATATAAGTGAAATAAACTTTTTCAAATAGGTACAAACTAGCTATTGGGCATGAATTGACATTTTTTTTTTTTTTAGTTAATTATTGTTATAATATTAAATAAATTATTACTGTACGATTATTATTATTATTTGCAGAACAACGCAACGTTTCTATTGAAGGTAAACATATTTTAAGTACTCACACACAGGCCACAACAATTTTACACACATATTATTGCTGTGTAAACTCATACTTAAAATGTTATTTTTAAAATATTTATTTTGTGGATTTTGGTTTGTTATTCTATTTAAATTGCGTCAGGGTAAAGTGCTTAAGAACATTGTGTTCCACGTGCGATAATTATGCAAGCAACTTATAAAAATACTTATGACCTTGGCTGTGAATTTATGTACCTCAAAGTAAAAACAAGCTATAAATATTATGAAAAAAAATTTTAAAAAAAAATTGTACTTAATTTATATATTAATTATTATATATTATAATTAAATTTATCTATGACATTTCTTTAAAAACCCAGTTAGGGCGCTTAAAAATAAGAAAACAATTCTTGAATTTGATTTTTTTTTTTTTTAAGTAAAAACGTCCTTCAAAAATATAATGTTAAGTGTTGTAGTCTTTTCTCTTGGTGCGTTTTTGAGAATTCATTACGCTATAAACATTGACGATCAATTTTATAGAGCAGCAGATTTTTTCTACGACGTTTTTCTAAGAGAAAAGTTATTTACAGTGGCATTTTGAAAAATTCGACTCTTCAAATATCATATCTTAATCCCGCGTAGTACATATGTTTAATTTAAATAGCAAATTGTCAATTAACACATTTTATGATTTTACACATCTCTTCCTTATACGGGTACCATAGCGCCGTCTAATCCGCTTAGGGATCCGATAAAGTAGGTAAAAAAACTGGATTGAGTGTGTAGTGAATGTGTATCTTAATCAATAATATAAAATCTACGTCGCCTGCTTGGCCGCGGTGGCGGGTTCTTAATATTATACGATTATTATTATCATCATCATCATCATTATATTATTTCTATATAACGTGTGACGGGTCGGTTGATTTTCAAAGCGATTCTCAGCTGGTACAACACACGAAAACAAACGATACGCCGGCTGTCAATTGTGTGTGTGTGTGTCTATGGAAAGAGATAATTCCTATAATTTTCGCCTGGAAGCCGTGACTGGCGCAGTAGGCACAATAATATGTACACACTGGCGGCGGACGCCTTTATTCAAATCAACGATGAAGACGTTTGTGTGTGTGTATAATAATAATCATAATAAAAATATATACGAATCTATGCCGACGACGGTGTAAAGTTGTTATTTTCATTGTGTAAAATGACTCGACGAAATATAATTTTTTTTCATTTTTTATATACACGGTCGGCCGTCATTAGACTACTATTATTATTATATATTATATTATATACCGACTACGAGCCGTTGTAACAATGTCGTTATCTCGCGCCGAATCGGCTTCAATCGATGCGCCCGCGTGCGTTGGGTTGCATTGCCCGGGAGCCCGACCACGGTTAGGTCAAGTGTGAATTACAGGGCGCCTCCGTCTTCGGTATCTCTGCACACAACAGCTATAATATTATATTGTATAGGTATTTGTACATAGAAAATAACATAATGATTTGTACCCATTCGTATAATATTATGTACCTTTCCGATTGTATAATAATAATAATATAATTGTAATTATTATCATTTTTTTTCTATCCGGCACAAGGGCCGAGGGTGTGTCGTACGACCCGCCCCGGCGGCCTACCGGTAACAAACAAAAATACTCTTTTTTTTTTGTATTTACAAAATATAATAATAATAATAGTAGTCGTTAATATTATACCTGTATATGTGTTTTTTTTTTCACGCAAAACGTGCCTATATTGAAATCGTCTCGAACGACGATGACGGTGCAAACGAAATTTCTAAGAACACAGATACAATAATATTATATAGTTTTATACAACCGGCCGTAGATAATGTATGTATTTTCTTCAGAGATGGAAATATTTTTTGATACAAAAAAAAATGTATCAGTTGATATCGATAAGTAGGTACACGCATCGGTGAATGTGTATCAATCAAACAAGTTACTTCATTAATTAAAAAAACGGCCGCGAGTTTAATCTGAAGTTCGATATTTTTACACGGCTGTTTTAATATGTACATATTATTATGACGCTATTCATTGGTAAAGGTATTTACACAAATTTCATGTGTCGGCAACGGTATATACTATTTAGATCACGTACTGGTATTTTAACATAGTTCCCACATTATATCACATCTTATGATGCTCGCCGCTCGTGTTAAAACACTTTTGTTTATTTTTATTACTTAGTGACCATTTACACAGAGATAACGAAGCGTTCTTGTTGGGATAATTAATACTAACGTGCCCTGAAACGGAACTATACGGTTCGGATTGGTTAAAGACATTTAGCGAACAATAATTATTATTGTTAATTACCGGTATAACATTATGTTTTATGTTATAAAATTATCATCAGCACTCGAAGCAGGAATTGCCAAAACTACTCGAAAAAACCGAACTCGATTTAATGTAAACAACATTAAGTTGCCAATAGCCTAAGCAGTCACATCTCATAAAGATTAATATTTATTTATTTATAGTTTTATCCGTTTATTTATGCGATATTTTTATAGTCAATAAAGTTTATAAACAAATTAAAACTGACGACATCAAGATAAATAAAAGCTAATTAGGTATATGCGTACTTTAAAAAAGTTCTGAGAAAAAAGAAAAACTGTTCAATCTCTATGCACTTAATATTTTAAGAACTAGGTCATGTGATACACTAAAATAATTTTAGACTTTCAAATAGCAATAATTCGAAAAAACATTATCAATCATTGATCAATGTTATAGATTTAATACACATAGTTATCTGGTTTTATTTCATTTAAAAATAACTTTTTTAAACTCAGATAACCCGTCATAAGTCGTCATTGTAATAATCAAATCAGTAGCTTGCTAAATCCCGTAGGTATAGTAGTTAATTAAAACTGTAATTTTCAAAAGTTATTTCTTACAAATA